CCGTCCCCTAGCGGATCACTATTTCTCCCCTGTGCAAAATTTTATACATATTATATACACATATATATATATATATGTATTTATATATTATTATTATTTATTATATTATATATATACATATATAAACTCAGATAACTGATTTTCCAAGACCGAAAGACTTAAACCAATATCTTCCCTTTCTCCCAGTTTTTTCTGGGCTTTTGGGCTCTCCCGGAGGCAGAGTGCGCGCGCGTGCGAGTGCCAGCCTCCCTCCTCACCTCGAGAAATCTCTTGATGACCTTTCCCTTGCCAACGTCCCAGATGATGCAGCCGTTGCGTGCCGTTGCCGCGGCGACGCAGTTGAGATCGGCTGGAGCCCAGGAGAGGTGGTAGATGATTCCCTCGTTGCCGGGCGATGTGTGAACCTGCGGAAAACGTCTCTTTTTAAGGAAAAAGTGTGGGGGGCATGTGTGTGTGTGTGTCTGTGTGTGTGTGTGTGCGTGTGTGTGTGCGTCTGTGTGTGTGTGTGTGTGTGTGTGTGTGTCGTGTGTGTGTGTGTGTGTGTGTGTGTGTGTGTGTGTGNGCGTGGCTTCGCCTCCGCGCCGGGCATGTTCATACCGGAGGTGAGTCATTGCTCACAGGGGTGCCCTCCTGAGTCTCGCCTCACAGGAGGGCTTCCCTTTGCGCCGGGCATGTTCATAACGGGAGGTGCGTCTGCCTGGGAAACGTGCGAACGTGTCGTCGAGAAAAAATTTCTAGAAGTTCTCGAACTCACGGTCGATGCGAAGCTTGTCGTTAAAACGCATCATCTGTCTGATTAACATTAACTCTAACATTAACTCTGATAGAGTTGATAGACTTCAACCTGAATCCTGCTGGACTATGTTCCTCTTGTGTGCTATGTTCTGTGGGAATGTACAGGGTTAAGGTAATCTATATCCTCTTACGCTATGTTCCTCTGGGAATATATGCAATTAAGGTCAACATAATTCTATTGGATCATGTCCCCTTGTAATATACAGGCTTAAGAGTCAACCTAAATTCTCTTGGATCATGTCCCCTTGGAATATACAGGCTTAAGGGTCAACCTAAATTTTCTTGATCTATTCCGCGTGTAATATATGGGCTTGAGCGTGCTCGTGTGGGCGCCCGCCGACGGCAACTCAAACTTCATCACGAACGTGAGCGCAACGACGTCCACCAGGTGGAGCCCTCGTCGCAGGTGTGCGACGAGGAGATAGTCGTTAGAGAGCGGGTCCCAGCTGATGTCGTGCACGGGGTTGGTCTCTGCATCCGTCGCCGACGACGACGACGCATCGGCGCTGTCGCATGGGTTCAGAATGTGCTTGTGCGTCTTGTGTCCTGCGAGAGAGAGAAACGCCGGAGCCGCGCGGCGCGAGTTTTCAAAGAATGTACTCTTGTTCCTTGGTAGACACGTACCCCAACGAGTTGGCACTAGCGTTGGGGAGGATGGTTGGGCCAAAAAGAGAGACTGAGAGATCTGACATGAGGTTTTGAAGATTATTCTTCTTTCTCGGTAGACACCCCAGCAAGTTCTCACTAGGGTTTAGAAGGTTGGGGGGTTGGGCCAAAAAGAGAGAGAGACTGCTGGTGGTTTTGAAGAATATCCTTCTCTTTCTTAGTAGATGCACCCCACCTCCCACTCGGAATTGTGACTGGTGTTTAGAACGATCCTTTGTCACGTATGTCCCGTTAGGAATATTGTGTCACCTCAGCATGTACATTAAATCCTTCTCTTCCTCGGTATATGTCCCCTCCCCGAGTTGTCACTAGGGTTCAGGAGGTTGGGGGATTGGGCCAAACAGAGAGAGCGTGGCAGTTCCTAAATGCCATATTTCATTCCTTTAACAAATATTTTCGCTACTTATCTTGTGCCTTTAACGGATATTCTCGCTACTTATTTTGCCTCTTTAATGGATATTTTCGCTACATATCTTTTCCCTTTAACGGATATTTTCGCTACATATCTTTTCCCTTTAACGGACATTTTCGCTACATATCTCATCCCTCTAATGGATATTTTCGCTACAGTACCTTGGTTGCATATTGATATGGTGCCGTCCGCGTGGCCGAATGCAATGGTGCCTATTTTCGAGTGGTGATAGCGGAACACGCTGACGTTGGATTGAAAGCCATTCGTGTCTCGATTCGGTTGCAAGCCTGCGCAAAAATAACAACCGCTTTTTCTCACACGCCATTCTCGCAACGTTCTCCCTAAAAATCACTTCTAATGATTTCTTCTCACAAAGGCAATTGCAACAAGATGCAACTTGTGACTCCGTGTGTGAATGTTAATCAAATGTTAACACCATCTATTTGACGACGTACCTCTAACTGGCTCTACCTCCACCCCCCCCCCCTTCCTCAAACAATTTCGTTATTCATGTGCTCAACAATACTACCTAAACTGAGAAGGATGTCATAAAAAGATTCACACCTGGGGTTTCAGCACCGTAGTTCCAAACGTAGAGTGGGCCTTTATCGTGGACAAATGCCACCTGCTCAGACTCATAGGGACACCAGCCTATGCAAACTGGAATGCCTGCAAAAATATATGCATACATAAACACACCCACATACCCACGTACACACCCACACTTATTTATTGCTATCTATTGCACGGTGTATTCTAAATTATCTAAATTACCTTATTTATTGCTATCTCTATCGCACGATCTATTGTAAATTATCTAAATCGTCTTATCTCTTGCTATATATCGCACGATCTATTGTAAATTATCTAAATTACCTTATTTATTGCTATCTATTGCACGGACTATTCTAAAATTTCTAAATTATCTTATTTATTGCTATCTCTATCACACGATCTATTCTAAATTATCTAAATTAGCTTATTTATTGCTATCTCTATCGCACGATCTATCGTAAATGATCTAAATCGTCTTATCTCTTGCTATATATATCGCACGATCTATTCTAAACAGCATTCGAGGCGAAGTGATGAGGGGTTTCGCTCTCACCGCTTCCATGTTGTTGACGTCCCACACCTTGATCGTACCATCAAAGCTGGCAGTCGCGAGCAGATCCGAGTTGTCCGGTTTAAACTTGCAGTCGAATATTGTCTCAATGTGACTCTGTGTACGATCGGTAAGGAAAGGAATCGGTGTTACACGCGCGCGAGGCTACGAGTCGAAAACCTCTGCGACGAAGAGTTCCCCGATGAAAGAACGAATAATGTTAAATACAAACATTGTCTCGAATGCTACCTAGATCCTAAAACACGGTTTAACTCCGTACTTGTAAATTCCAACCTCTGAAGCATCACGAAAAGCCGTAACCGCATGCGCATGAGAGATCGTGAAAACCGAGAAACCGTCGAGAAGCGAGCGAGCTTAGATCAACATGGTTTTACTCCGTACTCGCACACCGTAACCTCGAATCGTCACTAAAAACACGATCATAACAACCAAGCAACCGCGAGAAGCGAGCGAGCTTAATGGATAAACACGGTTCAACCCTATGCACACCGTTCTTGCAGACTGTAACCTCGAATCACCGCAAAAAAAAACCGCGCTAAGCCATATCCGCACGCACACGGTCATATCATCCAAGCAACCGCGAGAACGCGGAGAAGCGATATCATGAAAACCGGGAAATGGGCAAAAAAATGAACAAGTGAGCATGCGCGGGCGGGGTTCGCGTCACGGCACCTGGTCGCGCAGGAACAATCAAGAGCAATCAAAATGGACGAGAAACAAGCGAGCATGCGCGGGCGGGGTTCGCGTTACTGCACCTGGTCGCGCAGGAACAATCAAGAGCAATCAAAATGGACGTGAAACAAGCGAGCATGCGCGGGCAGAGTTCGTGTTACTGCACCTGGTCGCGCAGGAACAATCAAGAGCAATCAAAATGGACGTGAAACAAGCGAGCATGCGCGGGCAGGGTTCGCGTTACTGCACCTGGTCGCGCAGGAAGATCCACGAGCAATCAAAATGGACGTGAAACAAGCGAGCATGCGCGGGCAGGGTTCGCGTTACTGCACCTGGTCGCGCAGGAAGATCCACGAGCAATCAAAATGGACGTGAAACAAGCGAGCATGCGCGGGCAGGGTTCGCGTTACTGCACCTGGTCGCGCAGGAAGATCCACTTGCGCTTGCCGAGGTCGTACAGACCTATCCCGCCGTCGAGGAACGCGCAGACGACCTGGCCGGACGGAGGCGTGTACGACGACGCGGGGGACTGGTTCTGCGACCCT